TAGGGTTTGTAGAGGGCTGTGGGGTGTGTGGGTACGTGGTGGGGTGTGTGCACATAGCTGTGAGCAAGGCTCCCCCAGGGGTGTGTGGGGGGCTGGGTGTGCGGAGGGGTGTGTGGAAGGTTGTGGGCGGGTGCAGTGTTTGTGGGGTATGTGATTTGTATGTGGGGGAGGGTGTGGTTCTGGGGTTTGCAGGCAAGTGTTTGTGGGTATGGTAGTGTGTGTATGGGAGCCCCCCATGCCCACCCCCCTGAGCCAGTCAGCACCTGCCCCCACTCTGCAACAGCCTGGAGCCCGTGTGCCCTGCAGGACCTCCCTGGCACTGTCAGCAGTGTACAGCCCCAGCCCCATCCCATGCCTACTCCGGACTCACCCTGGTGGGAGCAGATCAGCCAGAACCCACATGCACAGCCCCAACCCCAGCCCGCACCATGCTTGCTCCACACCACCCACCTCCCTTGGGCATGCAACGGGGCTGGGGCAACTCCATGGCTGGACTGCCTTTTTAGGCAGCCCAGGTGGCAGTGCCTCCTTCTGACTGCTACTGCTGCTGGCCTCAGCCTCATGGTACCAGCGGGGACCCATGCGCACAGCCCCGACCTGACCCGCCCTGCACTTGCTCTAGACTTGCCAGTGTTGAGCAGTGGAGCAGTGGTGACAGTCAGGCAGAAACTGTTCCTCAGTGTAAGAGAACAGCAACCCCTCCCCTTTGCTGCTGCTGGGCCCTTCTTGCTGCAGCCACCTGGAGTTCACACTGGGCTGCCCTGCATCGCCAGTGCTGTCACCGCTGCCTTCGGGCTGCCCAGGATGGCAGCGGTGGCAACACAGAGTAGACACAGGGCAGCCCAGTGCAGGCTTCAGGTTGCTGCAGCAGGAAGGACCTGGTAGCAGCAAGGGGGAGGGGGGCCGCTTTTCCCCCACCCAGGAACAGTTTCTGCCTGGCAGCCACCTCTGCTGCCACGGCTTACTGCTGGCGATTGTGGGGCAGGCCAGGGTGGGGCTGTGCGCAGGGGTCCCCGTTGGTACCATGGGGCTGGGGCCAGCAGGAGTGGCAGCCAGAAGGAGCCACTACCTAGAAAGGTAGTCCAGCTGCAGAGGCACCCTGGTCCCACTGCATTGCCCTGGGTGTGGCAAGACATGCCACAGCTAGATGGTGCCTAGGCCAGGTGGGACCAAGGGACCTGCTGCGGGCCAGACAAAGACCTATTTTGCCCATCTCTCACTTAGAGGCTTTGAGCATATCTACTGTTTCTAAGATGGCAGGTGCAGCCTTAAGGAGGAAGAAAGCTGGAGTTAAAATGTGCTGCCTGAAACTTCAGTCTAGAGACACCACTGTATTTTAAACGTGGGGACATGATAGAAGGTTGAAATATGCTTAGATTTGTTCAAATTATAGATTCTTGCTCAAAATCACAAACCAATTAAATATGCATTAGTTGGTTTGAACTCCCTAGTCTCCAGTTATTAAAGCACACTAAAACAAAACTGGGAGTTTCCACTGCATGAGCCAGGGAAGAGGGGGAACATGCTCTCTGCCCTTAGCAGAGGAGGAGGAATGTGTAAACTCTTTCTAGCACCCATGACTTTGTGTTGTTTGTCTCTAAACAAATGACTTTTTTCAAAGTGTTTTTGTTTCCTCCGACAAAGAGCAGCAGAAACCCTGTAGATTCCCCTCCCTTCTTAGAGGATTGGTTTCTACTGCTTTCATCACAGAGGAAAAATGCACTAGATAACCTAAATAGGTGGTTTGTACTTTTTTTAGTAAAGTATCAAATGTAACAATATCTTTACAGTCTTATAGGGCTTTTTGGGCACTTCTATATGAGACGTGTTAACGTGCATTAGCTTAAGTTAATGCACATTATGGGCACACAGCCCCCAAATCTCAGGTAAGGCTGCTGGAGCCAGCACAGTTGCTGGTCCTAGCCTCAGCTACTCCCACCCAAGGTAATCTGTCATGTGCCAGAGGGCGCATGACATGGGCATTTCCTGGGGACAGCTGGCAGCAGCACAAGGTTGTCCCCAGGAAACCAAACGTCCGTGCTCATCTGGACATTGCCAATGCATTCTTCGCATCCACCGTCACTATGGAAGATGTGTGGGGGCTAGAGAGAAAAAGAACACAAGATTCCTGTGGACATTGATTCGGGTTGTGATAGCACTGTTGATAGAAGACTAATGTTTGTCTGTGTATATTTTGGGGGATTGGGTATGTTTTTGAAAGTAGATCTGGTCCACAGGATGAGAGTTGAGCACCCCTGGATGAGGACTTTTCAGTTTAGAAAAGGGATGCTTGAAAGGAAACATAATGGAGGCTTACAACATTAAATGGTGTAGAGAAAAGAAATAGAGCTATACTATCAAAATACTAGAACTAGGGGACATAAAATGGAACTATAGGTAGTAGGTTTAAAACTAACAAAAGGAAGTGTTTTCATACAGTGTGTAATGAACTTGTGGAATTTGTTGCCACAAGGTAGTGTGGAGGCTTATATTTTAACCCTGTTTAAAAGGGGATTGCATACAACTCATGGAAGAAAGGTCCATCAGTATGTATTGAACACGATACATAGGGGCACAGCCTCTGAAACAAAACTTCTCACACCTCTGAATGCTGGAAGCTGCAGTGGGAGAGAAGCAGGGGGTGGAAAATTTTGGACATGCCCTTGGCATCCACCCTCCACCACTGTATGAAACAGGATGCTGGGCTAGGTAGATCTATGATCTGACCCAATAAGTGGCAGTTCCTTATGTTCTAACTTTGTTTAAAAAAAAATGATATCTTTCTTTTTAAGAGCATAACTGAGAACAACTCTGCTTCTGAGTCTTCAGAAGAGCTAATACAGGGTTACTCTTTTGGAGAAATATGGCAAGATCTTCTCTCACCTGAGCCACAGGTAAGTGGAACAGAGAACATTATGTGTATATACTGTATTTTGCTTTTTTTAAAATGTATACATTGTCTCTAAATTGTATAAGTGGATCTTAACTTGTTTATCCAGTGCACTGCAGACTGGAGACCCCATTTGTAAGCCCAGCTAAGTACTACTTAGCTATGGTGGAATTCTTTGCAATGCATTTCATAGTTAATGAAATGGAGAAGGATTTTCTTCAAGTGGTTGTTCATATACATGTTTTCCCTTTGGGTACTCATGTGCCTCAGCCACTTGAGCTTGGAGACTTTTTGGTGCTAGTAGTATCTATAAATGACATGCACATCTCCGTTCTCCATGTGCTCCACATTGAAGGCATAGAGGTCAATATGCAGAGGTGTAACAAAGTAGTTTGGTGCCCGGAGCAGCTACCATACACGGGGGCAGCATCAATTTCTGTGTAGTTCCGTGTAATTGTGCAGTGGCAGCCACTTTTTTTTTTTGCCCCCAAGTCAGCAGCTGGGGGAACTGTCCGGGTGCCCACCTTGTTACACTGCTGGCACAATCAGTTTCCCACTCTTCGGTTCTCCTCAGCTGCCCTGGCTTGCTTAAGAGGCAGCGTTCTTTCTAGTCTACTTGCATTTAGACTATGGCCCTTTGAACATTTTTTGCACCTATTTTTCTTCCTTATCATTTTCCCCTGTTTTCTGCTGTCCTTGAGACTGCTCTCTTGCTTGCTTCAATATAATTTTCCATTGTTTTTTTTTTCAGTCCTCCATCGTGTACTTTATTACAGCCACAGACCCTCTTTTAACAGTCGACCATGTAATGTTTCCTCCCCAACCCTTCTCACATCCTTTAAGTGTCTTTTTTTGTAATTGAAAATCTTTTGCTTTTTAAAAAGGTAGTCATTTCAGTACTACATCTGTCATTAAAACTTGTCAAAAACTCACGCCAAATTAAGAGTGGTTGTGAAAGGGTTAACATTGGACTGCACCCCCCGCACCCTCCCCTGTTTCCAGGAAGGCACAGAGAAACTAGCAGCCATCTTGTAGCACAGTATCTTCATGAAAAAGCCAGCTTTAGGCCATGACTCTGGAAAAACCCTTTTTTCCTACATTCTGCCTTTCAAAAGAACAAGGCACGTATCTTATTTGGGGACATGTGGCCTTGAACCCAGGGCCCTGGTCTGCCTGGCATAGTGGCTCACCCTGGTCTGCCGCTTCCCTAATGGATCATTGAGATAGACGCAGCTGGCCAGAACCCTCCATCTGGGCCTAGGTGTACACCCACACTCTGCCACTGAAGTGGCCAGCCAAAGTCAGCTGACATCTTACCCCTTCCCGTATAGGACCCTGGCCTGGAAGTAGAAGTGTTCAGGAAACAAGGTGCAACCTTGTACCTAGGCTGCTGCACCCTTGGATTGTGCTGTGACTGAGTCTAACCAATTCTTTGAATACCTGACCTAGCTAGCCTCCTGATATCACATTCTGCCTGACCTCTTGGACCTCCAGTTTGGTTTCCCAGATGGATCTCCTGGGATCTTATGGCTGCTTCCAACTCTGACCCAGACCTGGGTACTTACAGCCCATCACAAGTTGCCTGGACCACTACATGTGGCAAAGGGGGTTCAGCATGGAGGCAGATTCTGTACTGGTGCTCCCAGATCCAGTCAGGCCAGAACAGCTGGCAGATTGCTTTTGCTCTGAAGATGCTAAAAGATCAGGTCTGGCAGGTGTTGGTGGAGAATCAGTCCCTCTGCTCTCATGTCTACCAGCTCTACAGCGAGGTTTCCATGTGTCAACCTCCCGCCTGGAACCCCACTTACCCAACCCTTTACCAGCAAGGTACAATGGTGACCAGCTGTGTTTTCCACGGGTTCCTCATGCAATACCTCAGCCTATCCGTAGCCCAACCTGAGCTCTACTCTGAAAACACAGCAAGGGTGAGGTTAGTGGTTGGTCTCTTAACAGGAGATGCTCTGAAGTGGGCTGCACCTTTGGTGGAGCACAATAATCCAGTTCCAGATTGAAGAGCATGCCTCATGGACATCACAGCCATGTTTAGAGACCCTCACCCAGTCTGGACAGTGGAGACTGTGCTGTGGTTCCTACATCGGGGGAAGATTCTGTTATGGTGAATGCTTCCCTCTTGTGCTACTATGCAGCCCACGCTGATGGAGTGAGGCAGCCCAACTCCCTTATTTCTGCTGGGGACCACGGGTGATCAAGGACAAACTGGCTTGGTGGAAACACCCTCAGAATTTGAAGTGTGTGTGGACCTGGCTGTTCAGATTGACCTCTGCTTCTGGGATTTCAGAGAGGAAAAGAAACAAGCCTTGATCCCTCCAGGGCCTCACCGTACTGTGGTAACTCCCGACCCCATGCCAGCAGGTGGGGGACTCTGACACCCCATACCAGAAGAACGGGAACACCACCAGCAGTAGCAGTAGTGCCATGATGATGGGGCCCCCAGACAAAAGCACACCACATGCCCCCAGAGAAGAGGTCAAGGTGAATGAGTGATTCCAGGCCTGGTAAAGAGAACTGGCTCGGAGTCATCCAGAGTCCTCAAGGCATCCATAGCCCATGAAGTTTGTGGCATACCCAGCCCAAAAAAGGCCCAGTTACTGTTATCTGCCTACCTCCAAGTCCCAGGGCAGAACCACTCATTCCCTGTGATGACCATCCTGCTAGACTCTGGAGCTGCAGGTAATTTCATAGATGAGGGCATAATATGAAGGCTACAAATCCCGTGAAGGGGATGATACAAACCTGAAACCATAGAGCTCATAGATGGCTTGCCCCTGGCTTTGAGGCCTATGGGATGGGAAACCTCCACCCTCAAGATCAGTCTCCTGCTACACAGGGAAACTATATGCTTTGGGGCCATTTGCTCCCTGCACTACCCTTTGATTGTAGGGTGTCCCATCATCATGGCACTACTGCTACTGCTGGTGGTGTTCCTGTTCTTCTGGTAGGGGGTGTCAGAGTACCCCACCTGCTGTCATGGCGTTGGGAGCTATCATAGTACGGTGAACCGTACTATGGTAGTACCATAGTGAACTGGTTTAGCGCCTGATAATAGATACATAAACAAACACTCCTGTCCTTTTTCTTTTTAACAATCAGGACAGGGGCTCCCACAGGTGAAGTGGACCTGTGTATAAAACCCCAGGCCAGGTTCTCACCTAGGTACCTGCAGAGGGTGGAGAGTTCAGGTTCTGACGTAGCATGAATACAGCCCGTAGGAATTTTTGCTTCTGGCTGTAGGTTGATAGGACCATTGTAATATTGATGTGAAGGAAGAATGTCTGGGTTATTTTGTTCAAAGAAGTCTGTGAACTCCTGGTGCTTCCTGGGCAAATGTGTTCTGGAAATGGCACCTTTGGAGGGGCTGCAGCAGGCAGGCCTCTAGCTTGGATTGTAGGGGGATCTGTCCCCCTTGTTTTCCTACAGTGTTGTTGTGGGATAACGTCCAGTTCTACTGGTCCAAGGAGCACCAGCAAATGTGCAGGCACCTGAAATAGGCTGTCACCTCTGCCCCTGTGTTTGCCCATCCAGACCCTGCCCTGTCATTTGTGATAGAAACAGATGCATCTAGCACCACTATAGGTGTCGTGCTCTCCCAGTGGCAGAGCCTAGAACAGACCCTACACCCTTGCTGTTTCTTTTCCAGAAACTTTACAGAACGAAATTATGAGATCCTGGACTGGGAATGCCTGGCCACCTGCATGGTGTTTGGGGAAGGGTAGCACTGCCTTGAAGGAGTCCAACACAAGATACAGGTCCTCACAGATCAAAAGAATTTAGAATACTTTTGCAAGAATCTAGGATACTTTACCCAGGCAGAGCCTATGGTCCCATCCTCCACACAGACAGAGCCCATGACTCTAGGCTGCAAGGACTGCCTGGCATGTCTGCTGGAGATTGGGAGCTGGGGCACTGCCACCCCCACTTGTGGGATGTGCTTGCTGGTGGAGACTCTAGTGGACTGGGTGAGAGAGCTCTAGGAGGAGGTGAACAGGCTGCAAGTCATCAGGGAACATGAGGCCAAGATCACTGTGTACTGCCAGGTCCTGCACCTGGAGAAGGACACCAGGGAAACCAGGCAGAAGAACGGGTTTGAACAAGATGACCCAACCAATAGTGGGTGGAAGTTGGTCACATCAGGCCCAAAGCCACAAGGTGTATCAGTTGCTCCATCAATAGCCCTACATGACAGCTATGCAGCTCTCACAGCATCGAGGGACAGGGCAACCATGTCCTTTGCACTGCAAACAGGACAGAAACAGCCACTCCCACCAAGGAAACAAAGAAGGGTGATTGTCATGGGATACTCCCTCCTGCAGGGCACAGAAGGAGCCATTTGTTGTCCAGACCCTCTTGCTCAAGAGGTTTGCTGTCTTCCAGGAGCCAGGATTCGAGATGTTACGGAAAGAATCCCTAAGCTGGTCTGTCCTGTGAACTACTACCCCATGCTCCTTGTCCATATGGGCACCAATGACACAGCAAGAAACAACCCTGGGAGAATCATGGGTGACTATAAGACCATGGGGGCGAAGCTCAAGGAACTAGGAGCACAAGTGGTCTTCTCCTCAAGCCTCCCAGTCAGGGGCCGAGGCCGACAAAGGGAGGAATGCATTGAGGAAGTCAGCCAAAGACTTTGCAGATGGTATCACTGCGTAAGCTTCGGATTCCTTGACCTTGGTATGCAGTTCAACAGCAGTTGTCTACATGCAGGAGACAGTATTCACCTAACAGACAGGGAGGAAGCTCTTCTCTATGAAAGTCGCTGAGTTGCTGAGGAGAACTTTAAACTAGGCATGTCGGGGGAGAGGGAGGGAGGTTTGACTGTTATATATGAATCCACTCCTGTACATGAATCTTCTTCCCATGATGACCCAAAAAAGGGCATCGATGTAGTGGACACCCAGGTGAGCACCTGTACCCTAAGATACTCACATAGTGACAGAAAACCTGAGGTGACTAGAGGGGAACTCAGGTGCCTTTATGGGAAGGCCA